AAACAAAATGGGAAAAATAGCAAGTTCTAAAACATATTGCATTGAAATTGTAGATACTACTGGGATAATATTGAATGTAAAATACAATACAAGCTAAATGAATTGAATTTATCCAAATCCAAGGGGCAGTAGGGGTTTTTTTCCCACCCCTGGCTCTTGAGAATAGATTTAGTCAAGTATTTTCTTAGTATTCTGAATTACAGTCCTCTCTAGGGCACAACAGACTGTTCCTTTCTTGAGAGACCAGTTCACAGAAGAAGAGAGGAAGAGGAGTGGAGAGCAGAAATTGTGTGGAATACTCAACTATTTATAGAACTCCAGGGAAGGTAAGCAATGCTCAACTGGGCAGGGAAGGAAAGCTAAAAGCATTTAGACCCAGACTGCTCAAAAATTGCCAGCTCTCATCCAGATCCAGATCGTAATCAAATTTTGCCAGACAGGTACCAACTGCCAAAACCCCATTTCTCCCTTGTTTTTGCAGAATGACTCTATTTTTATAATCCACTTTATCTCAAAAAAACCCTGCAAATCTTGGCCAGGAAAGCAAGAAAAAAACACCTTGCTGACCTGGCAAAGGTTGATATGGATCACAGCTCCAATCTGAGCAGACTTCAGGAGACGTGAGTGGCCTTCTGGCATGCACATCACAAACTGTCAATTATAAAAAATAAGATATGTACTATTTTGATAAAAATCAGATTTGGAAGTGAAGGAGCTTTGTTTATTTTTTATCTTCTACCATCTTGAAAGTTATTAGGAAAGCAAGAGTTACAAACATAAAACTTGACATGTTTAATACTGAGGCAGAACTCAGGGCCACAGAATTTATAAGCATAGTAATGAATTCCAAAATAGGACAGTGTGGAAGTACAACATCTAAACTGGACTATATATTTGTGGCTAAGATCTCATTCCTATAATCACATTTCATCAACTAAATGTAAATTTCAGTTGTGTTCTATGGACTTAACATCTACTCTAAATTCAGCGGCACTCAAAATTATTTAAAAATTAAAAAAAAAAACCCACTTGTTCTGTTTAAGGCTTAAACTTAGACTAGATATAAGGCTTATTCAGTAAAAGGAGTTAGAACTTAAAGTATCAACAATATAAAGTTTATCCCTATCAGCAGCACACTTTCACATAGAAGAGTAAAGCCTGAGAACTGAATAGAAAAAAATCCAATTAAGGCTTGCATCTCATCTTAATACACTGCTGAGTAAATCAGAAAAGATACATTAAAGACAGTGTGTTAAATTAAATTAGCTCTACATACTGTATTTTAACACTTCCTACCATTTACTGAGAGTGCAGGAACAGAGCAGTTTTATGAGAGTACTTAAAACCTCTCCAGCTTCTGCAGCTGAATCTCCAGAATTACAGCTCACATTCAGGATAGAGAGGGAAATTCTCCTGAACAAACAAGTCTCAAAACAAACAAAGAAGTCAGCCAAATCCCTTATAAATTATAAACCAGCCCTGTCTGCCAAACAACTGGCCAGTAAGCACTGGGAATGTTTAACAGCTTAAACCAAGGTTTTAAAAAACTTACAATATGCTTTCAAAGTTTTCATCACCCAGATAAAGAGTTCTCCAACTCTTCATTTGGGTTGGACTGATCCCTAAAGCTCAAGTCCATATGGAATAAGGACTGAAGTGCCAGTTTGTTTCTCCCATCTGACAAGAACTAGACCATACCACATAATCTCAGCTTCCAAGCATGAAAAGCAGTGCAGAATTCCCCAGGTTCAAACTGACACTGTGTTTGCTGAGAGATTATGGCATCTGGTTACATTTCTCACTGCAGCTTTTGCATGAAGACATAGAATAGTTGAGTATGTGAACACACTGCGGTGTTACTCAAAAAGTCACAGATTCAGCCTCAAACCTGACATTCACACGCCACAGCAATGGTGAAAGGCTGAGTTACCCTAAGCAAAGTAATTCATCCTTTCATGCAGATGCACCCTGGAACAACCAAGGAGTTTAGACAAGGCTCAGCACAACAACCCAGCACTGAACAGCAGAAAAGAGTATCTGAACATAATATTACAGCCCGAGATTCTATTCAGCTTGAGGGTATAAGCAAGTTTTATGATGAGGTCATAAAGCAATTTCTACACTGAATTTATGAGCTCATTCTAACAGTCATTTCCAGAAGCCAGTGACTGGTTTATTAGGACACAGCCTACAGCAAAATTGGAAACAGAGATTGCAGAGAAGCTCAACTGCAATACCCAAGACTGAAGCACAAAATCTGTAAGTCAAACAAGTAGGGAGGGAAGGTTTAAGCATGAGGCTTATAAATATCTGAACAAGGACATTTCAGAATCAGCAACACGAGAAGCATTGATTTACACTCACTTTCATTTGCAGAAATTCACTTTTATTTGAACATGAGCTTATGTACAGCATGCAGGATTGAAAAATAACCACTACCCCTGAATATTCACACCAGATACCTATTGTTAAATCATGAATAAGTGACAGCAGTGTGTTTTCACCACACATACAAATTGTTTAAGATCCATCTTGCTTCTTAACTTAAAAACTCCCACTTGCTTCTTACATTAGTCCTTGTCAAACCACTCTAATTGGAACAACAATAAATCAAATGTAACCCAGAGCTCATCCCAAACTGCACTGTGAGGGACAAACAGCCCACAAACACAGATCTGTTCTGCTGCCATAGGGAGAAACTCAAGGATCTTTTAAGGAGGTTCTAGGGAACTCAAAAAGGTTCATAAATATCAAACATTTTTAGACTCAGCATCAAAGGGAACCTTGGATCCTCTCTCGTGTGCCGATCCCAGCTTGTTTCATTTCAGACAGTAATGTCTGAGCAAAAGCATTTGACAATGAACATAATTCATGTACCCAAAGACACCCAGAGAGTGTCAAATCCAGAGAGACTCAATCCAAAACTGCAGCGAATTCCTCAAAACTCAGCCAAGATAACTGGACCACAGCACATTCTAATTATATCTATGAATCCTTAATTGACTGGATTGTTTACAATAACTCCCTGTATCTGTGGTTTGGAAATTATCTGGCTTTCATTTTAAGCTATTGGTGGTTCCTATGCTGCTTCCTACTAATGAACAGTATTAAAACAGAAGCACAAGCAGAAATCGACATTATCACAGAATGACTGCCTAAAGAAGCAAATATATCTCCTCAGTTGTAACAGGTCATTTTTTCTGGTCATTTAACCACTACCCACTATGTCAGTCCATGTACATATCGACTTAATTATGTGCATAGCCCAGTGAATAAAAAAAAATTTTAGCATAGTTCTAAATACTTTTGAGCTCCATAGGCATTTTTAATCCAAGCAGATCCAATTATTGGTTTATAGTAGTTTAATTGGGACTAACTCCAGGCATGCTACAGGTGCTGTACAGCAGTGATGCTCATCAGGCTCAGGACACAGAGATGTTACTCAGCAAAGAACCCTTTGATGCTGTTGGAATGTGTATTCTCTACTCAACATAGTTTTGAACATCTGAATGGTTCTTCCATCACAAAATACCAATTAAAACAAAATTCATTCCATAAACCTGGCAACAGGACCCAGCATGTGCCTTCCCATCAAGTTTTGCTACATATGTTAAAAACCAAGTTTCTGCTTTACAGCCCTCCAACAACCTTCTAATACTATCACACAGATCATTGAGAACCTGCAACTTCTTGGTTGCCAGGACAACTGATTGACAAGCAGAAAGTGCACAAAAATGCTTTTTTCTTTGTGTACTTGGTGCAAAGTTCTGCATTTCTAGATTTTTTAGTCCTATCTTGAAATAACACTCCCATTGCCGCCGTCACTGAGAAATGTCCATAAGTCACACGTTCTACACAAAGCTCTGAACTTCAAAATTAATGCTGGACATTTTATTCACTTAAATAGCAATTTTTTCCTCAATCATGCTCATTTATATTTATAAACAATTGGGAAACACCTTACTATGCCATAAAACACAAAAGCTTTAGTAATTTTGCTAAGACCTTTCCTATGCTGCAGTCATGTTTTCTGTGCTGCAGAATCAATTGATGATGAATTAGCAGTGCTAATGGTCCAAAAGAAACACACTTACAAATTAACAGTTTCACCTGTTTACTGCTCAGATCGAATTGTGAATATTCTCACTGTGAAGGAAGCAAATTCACAGCAAGCCACTGAGAAAAGCAGAGCCTGTGTTTGCTTCTCAAACACACGTGAAGCCAAATTTTGCCACCTACAACACTCACTCTAATTCCTGACAGGATGAGCTGATGCAGAACACAGATCTGTGCAGGGAATGTGTCAAATACTGCACACAACATTCACCAAAAGCTGGGAAGAGATCAATGAAGTGCTGCAGTTCACTATTTACAATCTTTCTTATTTTCATCTCACATTATATCTTCTTCAAATCTGGTCATTATAAAGCTACATTTATTTTATGCTCTAAACAAAACCTTACACTTTCAACAGGTAAGATCTGCCACCGAAAAGCAAAGAGCAGCTTAGGCCAGGGCACTCTTGATAAGCCCAGTGCAGCTTCCATCTACACAGCTCTTCTTCCACCTACACAATTCTTCTTCCACCCTGCTACTTTTCTTTACTTTTGCTTTGTCTCTCTTAACTATTCTGTTTTATTACTTGTACGAACATCACTAAAAAAAACTCACTGCCAGAAAGCCAAGAATTCACAGAGAAGCACCTTCCTACAGAGTAAATAGCAGGAGAAAGCGCCATGAGGTGAGCTGACAGCTCCTCCCGTACACCACAGGGACAGCCAGCTCTGCAATTTCCACTCTTAGCCTGATCTTTCTTCACCTTTTTTGTTTGTTGCCTCTAATATAACAATCCAAACACAGAACATCAAGCTGTGCTAAAGAAAACCAAAGGGAAATATTTATGAGACAAGGAAACCTTTGTTTTTTAATCATACAACAAACCGCAGCACAGCACAACTAAAAAAACATGGGTTTTACTTATTTTGATGTCATTTCCCTACCTTGACGTGACTGAAATCACCAACTTTGCTGCTTTCTTGGGGATTCAGAGGCTTGGTCTCCACTCTTGGTTTGACAACCTGCCTGAAAGGACTGGAGAGTGGGAGTCCACTGACACTGATTCCATCTGGAAAACAGAACAAAGAGAATTACTTTCTTGTCTAATGCTATGTTTTGTTCCAATCAATTTATATCTTATTATCAAAGAGGGGGGAGGAAAGACACAAAAAGTGATATTAACCTTTTACACAAAAAGACAAAACAAAAGACAAAGATTATTTGGCTGTTTCTCCCAGAACACCAAAAATAATTAAACTTGAACACACCAAAAACTTGGTGAATATCGCAGGGACAGAGGGAAACTGCATTTGAAACATCACAACAGAGATGTCAGAGTTAATAATATAAAATGAATTTTAGCATTTACAGTATTAAAATAAAAATCAAGGTTTTCCATGACAGTGTGATCCTATCAGCTCCTTAGGACCCTTAAATTAATTTATAGTACAAGGATTTCTTTTTAAAGTATATATTGTGGAAAATGACAGAAAATAGAGATGTCATGTTTTGTACATCTACTAATGCAAAAATAGATAAAATAGTTCTCAATTATAAAGGAGGCAGAATGGAAACTTAAGGTTTCCATTGTAAGGGTCAACAAAAAAGCTTAAAAATACACTGAGAGGAATGTTCCCAGTTTGGTGCTTATTCTTAGTCTGGGTACTAAAGGTGACAAAGATACAACACAACAACAGTTTCTGTTAGTGCCAACAAGGTGTAACTTGAAGGTAAATAAATGCACTGCAGCATATTTGGGGTCCTCAACCCAAAAACTCTAAGCACAAACTTAAAATGTTTGAAAATTACTGCTGAATCAAAAGAATTAGAAGAACAAGAGATTTAAAATAAGGAAGTTTTAACAAACAGTAAAACTAGATTCACTATTTGTTATTATTTAGATTTACATCCCAAGAAGAGAAAGACTTTGTTCCTTGATGCTGTGCAGAGCAACTGCAACCCACAAACACCAACTAAATACAAGCAAAATCTCATGTACAGCAGCAGAGACATACAGCTGAACACACAGGAACCACCAAATTGTGACACAAAATCCAAACATATTTCCTAAATTGCTCCTATGAAATCTGGACATGTTGAGGATACATTCCTCAAAAGAAGAAACCCTAAGAATAAGATGGAACATGAAAGGGGTTTTGTTTCATTAAACTTCACAGGTATCCAAATGAGAAAACAAAGGGAGTATTCCCATATTCCCTTACTTGAATTTCCTTCACTAAGTAATTCTAAAATGCACCTTAGCACTGAATAAATATCCTGTTCTATCAGTTCCTGGGGAGAGCAGGACAGGAGGTGAGAGCACCCTGCCCGTGCAGTGCAGCAGGACCATGAAAAAGACAAAATACAGAAATAAATACAGAACTACATTTGATCACAGGCTTTGAAAGATGCTCTTTCAAAATGAAAATTAGAAGTTTTAATTGAGGAAAAACATTCTTCTCCAACTGATGAATGATTTTTCACTAGTTCTATATTTAGAACAAAAACTGACACTGACTGGTGCATAAAATTGCAAATTAAAACATGAAAAGAACCAAGTATGAAAACCTGCATGGCATTAGTCAGATTTTCCACTTTTTATATGGCATGAGCTTTACTTCTTTGAGAGAAGAATAGATAATACCTAAAACAACATCACAGAGATACAACTAATGCCTTTCTTAATTATTTTATCCTTTAAAATCCCATTTTATTTTTAATTTCTACAGTGGGGGGGAAGAGAAAACAATAGTTAAAACATTTTCTCTGGAAAGAAGACATTTTTGACTCTCTAATTTGTACCTGAAAAAGGAGGTTTTCTAGCAAAGGAGACATCAGGATGAAAGGGAAGTCCAAGGTAACTTGGCAGTGGTTGAACTTTCTGTCTCAAGTCTGTAGCACTCTCACAGAGACAATGCCAGGCACTTTGTTATGCTGCAAATGACTCAGCCCTTCACAGCCTGGACTGCTCAAGGCAACTTCTCTGCCAGAGGACAAAAAAATAATTTTCTACCACAAACAACTATTTTTAAAAATTATTTTATTTCTTCTGTTCTTTGATCAGGCAGCAATGGGGGAAAACACCTTGCCCAGATCCCCTGCAATACATTAAATAGAATGGTGGAAATCCTGTTAAAAACCCTGGTAGGCTGATGAACTTAATGATGACAGGAGAAAACATTGAGCACCAATGAAGCAGTTCTCCAAAAGTTTTACATTATTGATACTTATATTTTTTGAGATTTCATACATTTTACTTTCTCTCATGAAGTTTGGAGAGATGAAGATGCTCGATCCACTGGAGTTTTCTTTTGTCAATCCCTATTGTCAAACATCCTGAGCAGCCTTACACTATAAAAAGTATAATTATCTTTCTACTCTGTCCAGAAATTTTCCTAATTTCAACAATCCACACTGAATATTTCCATGGTAACAGCATATGACCAACACTTTTCCCATGGTAACTGCAAAAACACAGCTTGCCTTTCCAATATCCCAGTCACTGCTGTCACAACAGAGCACAATCTCTTACCAGCATTTCCTCTCTCCTATCAAAATTTAAGTAAATTGTCAATTTAACTTCATTAGCCACTTTCCCAGCACACAGCACAGAAGAATCCCACAAAATTTCTTACTTGAATGAGGGAAGTGCATTCAGGGAGTTAAACGTGTGGATTTACAATGCAGAAAGCACAGAAGGAAGAGGTGGCACGGGACAGCTCCTGGCTCGTCACACTGTCCTGGGCAAGGATCACTGGCCTGACCCAGGGGACAAAAATGGATCCACTTTCAACAGGTACATCACAGCTATGGAGGTCTCAAACTCCACAGCAAGGAAACACTTTAAAACTGTGTTTTAAGTGCCACCACAGAGGCTGGCATTCTGAGGCAGTGTCCAGGGAATTCCATGTCGCACAAAATGGAAACAGTGGAAAATTTTAGGCTGAAGTGCTGCTTCTTTCCAGCAGAATTTCATACAATCCAACAGCAGCTCAGACCTGCTTCCTGCAGCTTCCTGAACAGCAGCACTGGGACCCCAGGAGGGGCAGGAGGAAGAAGAATCCCAGAATCATTCAGGTCAGAAAAGGCCTCAGAGATCACCAGGTCCAGCCTGGGACCGGACATCACCACGTCCATCAGCCCAGAGCCCGAGTGTCATGTCCAGTCTGTCCTGAAACACCTCCATGGATGGAGGCTCCATTGCCACCCTGGTGATTCCACGGAGGGAGGAGGGGCTGCTGGCCTGGAGCAGGATCCCTTCCTGCAGCCCAGGGATGTTTCTGGGGGGATTCTGCCCCTCTGCTCTGCTCTGCTCTGCTCTGGGGAGATTCCCCCCCAGAGTGTTTTGTCCAGCTCTGGCGCTCCCAGCATTGAAAGGATGTCGAGCTGCTGGACCAATTCCAAAGGAGGCATCAAAGATGCTCAAAGGGCTGGGATGTCTCTGCTCTGAAGACAGGCTGGGAGAGCTGGAGCTGTGCAGCCTGGAGAAGAGAAGGCTCCATAGAAAACTCAGAGCCCTTTCCAGGACCTAAAACGGATCCAAGAGAGCTGGAGAGGAACTTTTTGCAAGGCCATGGAGTGAAAAGACAAGGGGGGGTGGCATCGAACTGACAAGGAGAAATTCTTTATCCAGAGCATGATGAGGCCCTGGCACAGGTTGCCCAGAGAATATGTGGATGCCCCATCCCTGGAACTCTTCAGACCAGGTTGGCAAGGGCTTGGAGCAACCTGGGATAGTGGAAGGTGTCCTGCCCATGGCAGGGAGGTGGAATGAGGTGATCTTGAAGGTCCCTTCCAATCCAAACTATTCTATGACACTATGTCACAGAATCATTGGAAAGTACACAGCTTGATCATAACATATGAAAACTAAATGCCACCTCAACCCATTTGTTTATTTTGTCAATTCTTGCCTGATTGAAATCTCAAAACAAAAATTTCTTGGTAGGCAACATCTCATAAGAACACTGCAACAGCTTTGAAGTACTTTAAACATGCAGAAAAACAGAAAAAAAAAAAAACTCGAGACAGGAGACTCTACTTGCTGAACTTCAATGCCTTTTCTTTTTTTTTCCCCCTAGAAAAAGAGAACTGTATTCTCATGATGTGTGCAAAATTCCAGAAACTTGCTGTGCGCAGCAACAAAGAGCAGAATAACACCAGAACACACAGAGTTTGAGGCAATATAATCCACCCTTCACACCTCAGGTGGGCACTGAGATGCAGCTCCTTCCCTCCCTCAAAAATGTGCTCAGGACCATCAGAGGAGGGACCCCAGGCAGCAGCACTCCAGGCAAAGCTCCTGGGAATGCAGCAGCTCTGTGGCTCGCAGGAGCAGGGCACAGCCAACATGAAACAGACTTAAGGTCTTCTTTGAAACCCCATTACCTTTGAAGACAATAATTAACAACAACAAATGCGCTGTAAATAAGGATTTATGTCCTGAGGTTGTTGAACTGAACCAAAATTGGAAGATAAATTTACAATAAGGGTGAATGCAATGAAAGAGAACAACTGAAGTGTAAAGAAGTTCATAATATTCAGATTATGTATGCAGATTACATTAGATGCTAAAATAAAGTGCCTCAGCAAAGGAACAGCATAAAAAGAGGGCAGGTTTATTGGCCTGTATGTGCCAATAATCAATTTATTGCTGTTTGCCTCCTGTCTATCTTAGTTATTTACATTGTAAAGATACACCAGCTCTCTGAATATTTGTGTAGTGGCTAGAGTACTATGGTACTAACATACATTGTTTAAAAAATCCCACCCTACATTACTCAAATCATGAGACAAGATGATTTATCTGGTTTCAAGTGCAGAGAGAAGAGAAGAGAAGAGAAGAGAAGAGAAGAGAAGAGAAGAGAAGAGAAGAGAAGAGAAAGAGGGCACCTTATCTTCCATAAGTACTAAAGCTGGAATTCAGTAAGAATTCTATAGTTCTCAAAAAAATTAAGAATATTTTTTCAAGTTACACAGTGATGAATTTATGGAGGACACAGAAGCATCTGTATTAAAAAAAAAAAAAAACATAGAACACAAGAGAAAAAAACCTCTCATTTACTCATTTTAACAGCACAACCAAACTGGCATCTTCAAACTGTAAAGGAAAAAAAAAAAACACTTCATAGAAATGAAGTCACTTCAAAAGAATACTCAGAACAATTAAATGTTATAAAGGCTACCAAGCAGAATAACATGGAAATTATAATAATGCAACATCTCTGAGGACCCCATCATCATCATCAGTGATACCATTATCCTAATAGAGTCCTCTAGGCTACTTAGTTTCTTGGAAGAACTGTCAAGAGAACATTTAAATTCCAAACCAGGTATCATTAAAAAAAAAAAAAAAAAAGGCTTTGTCTGTACACTGTGTAAGTGCAGGGACATTTTAAAGTAGATAAAATCTGGCCATTAAAGCAGGAAAACAACAAAGGGAGTATGAAAAATACACTGGTCTTGCACACTAATGTTAAAAAATATTCAAGATTAGTGCTCCTAGAAAATTGCTATTATTGCTCTGCAAGATTTTTCCCCCTAGAGTGATGCCTTAAGCTTCAGCTTTCATATTTTCCAGATTCTGTACTGCATTAGCTTATAACTCTGAACTTCATATAAAGCATTAACAAGTTCTCTTCACAATTTAGTCAGCCAAAACAATCCTTTTCCAGCCCGAGAACCAAGGACACCACTGCAACTTCAGGCCCAAAAAGTGCAAACAACAGAGAATTGGGGGGAGCAAACTGGGAGGATGGGACGTCATAACCTGCAGCCATAATTGGACAATTAACCCAATATGTAAATGGACCAAAACTTATAAAAGTGTGAAAACTCATGACTCAGGGTCCATCTTGGGTGGAGCCATGGCCAGGCTCTTGCACTGCCCAAGGTGTGTCCTTTGAAGGCCTTTTTAATAAATCCCTGCTTTATTCCTTTAACACTGCCTAGCCTCTGTTCTAGGCAGCCTCTCCAGGCACCAAAGAAGGGAAGGAGAGACTTAAGACACAGATTTGCTTCTCTCTCAATGTGTAATTAATTAGTTCCTTTGATGAGTTTATGAATTTAAATATTCTCACACATGTCTTTAGGTTCCCTATGCAGGGAATAAATGAACATTAACATTCCACATAATGAAGTACTCATTGCAAATTAATTCATTAACTTTACAAAACACTGTCCCCATGTAGCAGGAGCTTTTTTAAAAGCCTCAAACGAGTCACCGTGTCCAATACAGTCCAGAAAGAGCAGCTATTGCTCTCACCCCATTTTTACTGTCAGGGAAATGCTGAATTGCAGAAACTGCAGTATAATAGCTGGAAAGGGGAATTCATTATGCTCATAATGTGAGTATCCTGTTGACATTTTTAGTCACCTTAACAGGTGATAGAGATCTCACTGCTTCAGCTCCTTGCACCTGGCTGTACCAAGAAGATCAAGGGCTTCCCCCTGCCTCACCCAGTATAACAACCTCAGAATCAAATTAAATGCCCATGCTGACCTTCTCAGCCGGAGGAGGAACCCTGAACCATCCAGCTGAGGGACAAGAGAGCCAAAATTTCACTAAGATTTGTAGCAAACATGGATCTCCCTGCATGGATCTCCCAAATCTTGGTCAACTGGCTTTAAGACATGGAATCACAGAATTGTTAAGGTTGAAAAAAACCTCCAAGATCATCCTTGTTCAACTCTCAGCCCAGCACCAACATAATGTTCACCACTAAACCATGTCCCCCAAGTGCCACATCCACACATTTTTTTGGAACACTTTCAGGGCTGGTGATTCCAGGGCTGGTGAACAGGGCAGCCTGTTCCAAGGTTTTCCAACCATTTCAGTGAAGAAATATTTCCTTACATCCAATCTAAACATCCCCTGAACCCATTTCCTCTCATCTTGTCTTTTGTTACCCAGGAGAAAAGACCAACACCCAATAAGATGTGAAAATTCAGCATAAATAAATGGGGGGAAAGAATCCTGAACTTATACATGCAGTAAGAGGCTCTCAGGATATAATTTCTATTGAGAAGCAAGATCCTGGAGTTGTGGTTCACACATTCATGCATCTCCCAAATCAATGTTCAGCAGCAGTCAAAGAAACAAATGATAAATTGTGCATTACCCCACAATTGTAAGGAAAGTCATATAAAACAAAATAAAGAGCACCATTAGGTCATCACATAAACACATAAATCAGCTTTCAAATAGTGTGTACAGCCTCCCTCAAACAGACAGAACTGAGAGTTCAAAAGGGACAAGGCTGACATGTGGAGCAGTTCCCACAACAGGGACAACTAAGCCCTCAACAGTTAGAAACCCCCAGTCTGCTGTGACAATACCCTGGGAAAATGCATCAAATCACTGCAGGAACCATGGTTAGATGTCCTGTTACCTCTCTCATGCAATTAAAAAACCTGGGAACACAAGGCCCCCACTAAGTGCAAAGCTGCTAAAAAGTAATTTAGCTGTGACTCTTCTTGCCACAGCATGTTCTGAAGTGCTGACAGGAAGAATGAAGAATTTTAGGAAGGAGAAACCCACTAATGATGAGTGAAAGTGCCTAGAACCAGAGAAACCACATACAGCCCTGGAAGCTCCTAAGGTAACAACAGTTAGAGACCTAGAGGAAAACAGTAGTATGTGCATAATTTTTCCTGTATTGTCCCACTGGAATCTGCTCTTAGCCACTGTCACAGTCAGGATGGTCACATCAGCTGGATGGTCACTGAGCTGATCCTGTACAGCCACTCGTGGTTCTGCTTCCTTTAATCTGCAAAAGCACCCAGCATTTTTCTCTGTGAGGCAGCACACCATCAACACACCTCAGCAATCCAGATTGATAGCTTGGTTTACTTTCCAATTGGATAAATGTGCATCATCAAAAACATCAGTAATTTATCCCTTCTGCACCATGCCCTGATTACAAACAGTGCAAAAGGAAACAATTCCAGCAGCAAATGAAAAGACATGGAAGTAAAAATTGCCCTACTAAAGACATTGCTTTTAAGAGACAAAAATATTTTGATCACCATTGTAAATGTGATTGGTCTTCAAAACAAAAAGGTACCACAGTACCCTATGATTAAAAGTCATGTCATAGTTGCCATTGATTTTTTCTAGCTCTTTACTGTTCTTCCCATCAGGCTCTGACCTCCTCTGCAAAGTTTAGCATTTGTAAAGTTAAAAGTAATACATAAAAAATAAAGTACCAACTAAATTTTCAATATACTTAGCCTTCCTAAAAACACTTTCAAAGGACAGAGAGTACACACCACCCACAGATACCAAAGTTCCAACAAAGCAGTAATGGATCCTACTCCTTTATCATCACTAAATGAGGAAAGGTTGAATTGCTTCAGCTGCACAACCTTTCAGAGAAGCAGGAGGTAGCAGTAGGGTGAAAATAGTGTTCAAAGATTTTGTTCATCTGTAGTCCCATAAGAGCTGGATACAGGTAAACAGAGGCCAGAATCCAAATCCCAAATTCCACAAGTGTTCAGTGTCCATACCATGAAGTATGTTATCTTCACCACCTACAGAATACTTGGGGTTTATGTTATTTCATCAGAAAAGCTCCTAGACAAGTGCAGCTTCAGAGCTTTTTGGACACTGGGCAAATGAAGGAATTTTTCCATATATATATATGTGCACATATATCTATATATACATATCTACTATGAAATCTCACTTGCTATCAAGTGGAATTTCTCAAAAGTCTCAATTCCTTGGCACCCATGTTTTCACAATGTCAGGGTGTGCTCTTCCTTCGCTATCAGCATTTTCAGCAAGCTCTAAACTGAACTGCAGTGTAGCAGCATTGTAGGGTTTGTGCAGTAAAGCTGTAAAATATTTTTAAAGTATCTTTATATTTTACATTAGGGAGATTTCAAAACCAAAATCTTTCAATCATTACTAACAACTACTATAATTTTTATCTAAATGCATTTGGAAGGTAACTCACAGAAATTATTCCTACTCAACCTGAATAAGCTCTGCATGTAATTTTGTTGTATTCTTCTGTACTGAAAGATTACTTACAAAGGTAATGCATATTGCAAGTGGATCCTGGGAAAAAATCCAAATAACAGAGAGTTTTTAATACAGGAATATCTTGTTTTATCAAGGTAATTTAATCAGTGCAAACATATCAGACAAACGAAAAAATACAGAGTAGAGTAATTACTCCAGAAAGACTGTGTTTTTATTATAAAAAGGAAATCCTTATTACAAGTATCTGGTACTTGTAATTCCAAATAATTCTAATAGAAGCAAACACTGCGGCTTCCTTTTATTCAAAATAAGTTTAAACACACTGCACTTTCTCTGCAGTACAAATATTAGGGGAATTCTGCCTTGAATTTCAGTCTGTCACTTTAGGAAAAACTGCACTCAGCAATTATTCAGAATTCTGCAATCCCGGATAATTAAATAATCAACTCAATGCTATTTTTCTTTAAACCCCACTAATGTTTGTGAATTATTTTTCTTTACTCTCATAAGGTAAGGATACAAAGAGATACCTTAAAACCACTGTCAAAAATATTTTAAAAGACAACAGGGCAAGGTCTCCTGACGGGGACGCTGGGCCAGACTCTCATGCCCACAGCCCTCTCAAAAATTCACCCTTCAACCTGCAGAGCTCAGCCAAGGGTTGACTTTGCTTTATAAGACACAAATATTCCAACACACAGCCACATCTCAAATCAGTTTAACACAAAGGGCACAGCAATTAGAAAAGTGTTTCCAGCGGCACACACAACCCTCCAAAGCAAGGAGAAATGAAAAACTCACCATCACTGAGATCCTGCAGAAGGTTTTCTTGGCAAGAAAAGTCCAGCTTCACTTTAATGTTCACAACAAATGTTGCGATCTTTCCAGGTTTTAGAGGAAACTGGCAGAGGGTGTCTTCTAGATTCCAACTCAAGAAATCTCCATACAGCTTCTCTGTATCAAAATAAATAAATATTTCATAAGCACAAGCCCTGCATTAAGGAAATTTCAGTTTTGAACTGCTGTAGAGAGTACTAACCAATCTGTCATGTCCTGTTTAAAGTCTAATATTCAGAATTAATGTATTAAAATTAATGTAGCACTAGAAAGATAGAGAAGTTATTGGGTACTGACACTGACCTGGAATCACACAGATCACAAAGCTCAAAATATGAATTTAAGTGAAGAAAATCACTACCAGAAAAAAAACCAAACCTGCACAATAGGCAGCATTAAATATAAACTTTAAATATAGCCTGCAGGGGTTCTAAATGTTCATGTAGTTTTGAATCCTACACAGTTCAGCTCAGGAGGTGTCACATGAATTTTTGTTTCATCAAAATAACCCAAACTTAATCAGCTGAAATTCTGAAACAGCTGTAACATCATTCTTCAGTTATTTACTGAGCAATAAAGAAGGTTAACAAGACTACTGGTTTTCATATTTTTATAAAGTCTTTTCTTAAAGCTGAGAAGCAGCTTTTTAAAAGACCAAATCATTAAGAATTTCAGACAGGATTAGTCGATGACAAAAGAAAATTTGTTTAATAAATTATGTGTCATTTGTCCACTTGATATAGGGGATCTGTAATTATTAAGTCCTCCCTCATAAGCCTGACATGCCAGAAAATTATACAAGGGGGGAAAAAAAACCCAGAATTTACTGTTCATCTACACTGGGTCTTCCGTTCTGGCCAGGGTCAACCCACCCCATCCATAAATTCATTCCTATATGCAAGACCAGAAAATGCTAAATACTACAAGAAAGTCTATTGGTACAATAAATAAGCATGATGGTTTGGCTGGGAGAGCCCTAAAAATATGTTTATTGATTTATTATAGCAATGCATGTTATCTCCAAAGTATATTGGAGAATTCTTCTACAAGCTCATTTTAACACCTTTTGAGCCCAGCTTTGTGTAACAGGGACCACTGAAAGTCGCACAGCTCATCTCTACCTCCTCCCAGAGGAGAACAAGGTAATTAAAATCTGCTGTGATTTCAGAACCTTTCCAAAACCACCCTCTAAGATCCATGTGTGAGGGAACAGGGTGGGCAGACTGCCTCAACTACTACAACCTGGAATAAAGGATCTTTCAAAAGGAGCAATCAGAATTCCAGATTATGTCCAAATCATGTTGATTTGCACAGGAACCTTTCGTTTCCCTTGCTAGGAAAAGAAGAAAACAAAGACAATATTTTTTTCCATTAACTTCTACCTAAACAATAATCTTTGCCTGAAAGGTATTCTTCTCACATATCCTTGTGTCCTTCCCCATCAAATCAATAGTATAGATTTCTTTATTAAACAAAAAAAAAAAAAAAAAAGACAAGATAAAAATAAAAAAATCCTCCCAAAAAATTATTTCCTTCAACTCACTCCCACCTCACCTAATGATTTAGCTGGAACCATATCACCATTCTGATCATTTTCTTCTACTTTCAAGAAAAAAAAGTGAGTTGGTAAGTATAGCAATCTCTATCCCCTTTTCCTTTTAAGTAAAAATCCAATATGCTCAAGGAGTGTTTTCCCTCAGTGTAAACAAATAAGGACATATCCCAGGCAGTAGAGCACCAAACTCTTTCCAAAATGGGTTTTTATTAAGAGCTCTATTTGAAGACATTACGAGTGAAAAGACTTTTGAAGTGAGAACAGCCCTTGCAGATACTTTCTAATTAACACCGGTAATTAGAACACAAGATCTAAATGCTTGAGCTAAAAGCTAAGCTGTAGATGTGGAGAAACAGCTAATTTATATTTATCTGACACTTGGTTATAGTTTAACAGTGTTGACCTTGTTCAGTAATCAGTATTACAGTGAATTATACTCTGGCTTCAGACCTCCCAGTTCAGTGGAAGGCTGAACTTGCATCTTTCTCAAGGCCAAAATCTGTGTTTAGCAAACATTTAAGTTACAAGCAACTGTTATCAGGAGTTGTAAATAGCAACTTGTATGATCTGACTGGGTACTCAATCACTAAAATCCTAACAAATATCACATAGAAGCTTACCCTGAAATTAACTTTGGGTCATCCTAGGCCACTCTAACTTTTAACAGATTTTAAGGTCTGCCAAAGAAAAAGTCCACACTGACGTTTTGCATAGAGAAACTTGATAGAAAAGTCTTCTGACAACACAAGAACTTCAACTCTTTTCAATCTTAAATCCTCTGGTAAATCTGGCTTTTTGCTGTAGTTTATAAACTCAAAATAACTATCAGTTCTAAATGCACTGGCATTGGCATTCACACATTTTAACTTCTCCTAGACCTGGTGGATAGAAATGAACCTGCAGGACTTGTTACGCTCTTTCCAATGAGATAATACATTTAGGAAGGAAAGAAATTATTGCACAGAGGCAATTGTGTTCAGAGCAGAGTGAGAACACGTGAGAGGAACAACTCTGCAGACACCAAAGCGTCAGGGGAGAAGGAGGGGCAGGAGATGCTCCAGGTGCCAGAGCTGAGATTCCCCTGCAGCCCAGGGGAGCCAGGAGAAGGACTCCTCTCCCTGAACAGCAGCAGGAACAAGGTGTGATGAACTGAGTGCAACCCCCAAACCCCCTCCCTGTGCCACTGTGGGAGAGGATGGAAAATCTGGGAAAGAGGGAGTGGTGGGGGGAGGTGTTTTCAAGATATATTTTACTTTCAATATATATCTTATATATTTTATGTAAGTTTTATATTTCATATTTTACTTTAATATATTTTTAAATCTATTTTCAAGATATATTTTACACTTCTTATTATCCTGTCCAATTTTCTTAGCAATAAAATTCAATTAATATCCCCAAGGTGAGTCAGTTTTGCCTGTGACAGTGATCAGTGAGTGATCTCTCCTGGTCCTTAACTCATGAGACTTTCATTATATTTTCTTCTCCCTGGCCATTTGTGGAGGGGAGTGACAGAGCAGCTTTGATGGTGTCTGGCATCCAATTTGAAAGAATTTACCAAGTTTTCTTTAGCAAAAAAGGGAAATAGATCTAGTCCTGGATATTCACAGGTCTTCCTGAGCCTCAGAGCAGATTTTTCCTTTGTGGTCTGGCAAATGTGTTCAAAGGCCATGGGAAGAATGCAGCTGGACAGGTGAACCTGTTTCTCTTACATTTAAATTCCTGAGGTCTGTCACTTGTAGGAAAGATGAGTGAGGATTTTGCTCCATCCAGGTTCATTCCATGTGTGGATCTGGGCTCACCACTCGTGCTAAGATTGCCAAGTGGGCTCTTCTCAAGTCTCAAGTTTGAAAACACCAGGGTTATATTTGCCCCTCAGTGGATCAAATAGTTGGTTTATCACAACCTTTGGACTCCTCTCCCTTATCTGAGACACAAAAAGCCTCTAAAAAAGCTGACTGGAGCCAAAGGGGAAAAAAAATCCAGCTCTGTACAGGTCATCTTTCCAAAAAAAGGATTAAACTGTCTGACCTGGTGAGGGACAGTGTAAGGTGACACAGAGCTCACCCTGACAGCATGGACATGTTATGTCCAACCACAGATGCCCCAGCCTGGCTCAGGGGGGCAGTGAGACACTGAAAGCCATGACAGACGTGTCTGTTGTGGCAGCATGACAAGTCCCTCTTGCTGATCTGCCTCGGGAGCTGTTCCATAACACACGGCTGCTGAAGGACTCAGAACCCTGGGATGTCCTTCATGAACTGCACAGGGGGAGCTGCAAGTTCCTAATTATCTGAGGGACAGAGCAGAAAACCCGCAGAGCTGCACCTGATGGTGACAAAAGAGAGGTAAGGCAAAGCAAGTGTGAAATTCTTACCTCCAAAGGTTCTCATTAACATGACACCACCCACAAGAATGCCAGAGGAGTTGGCTTCCTCAAGGACTGGCTATAAATCCAACAGTAAAAAAGAGAATGTTTGCCATTTACAGCATTCATCTTTGTGCTAAAAGCTGTGGCTCCAGAAACAGAAAGTAGGGAAATGGGTCAGGCAGGCAGCAGCTGCAAGAGATTCACAAGCAACTGCCAAGACAAAAAGAACCAAAGGAAATCGGGTGTAACAAAAAGATGACTGAAAGCTCTTTGTGTTTGGCTGGAATTGGCCAAAGCTTCTCATGGGCTCCTGAGCTGACTGGCAAGCTGTGCTCAGGCAAGTGAAGGTGACCATCAGCTCTCAAGGATACCTTGAGCAGTTTGAGCAGGCTCATTTCAGTGAGGAGCAGTACAGAACACCCAAGAGATAACTTCTTAACACACTGTGGTGCGTGGACACCTGCACATGCTCTCAACTTGATGTGCAACACCCAGAGTTTGTGTGGCTGTTAGAGGTGGTTTAATGCCCTGTCCCCATGAGTTCCATGCATGTGTTCACTGTTCACTGACCAAAAGGAGCTGCTGACATTACAAATCTTGGGTTCCCTGTTGGCCACCAGAATCCCATCTCACAGGACTGCCAGCCCAGCCTCATGCATTTGTATCAATTCAGGGTCATAACTAAAATGGAAGAGAGCCCTGAAAAAGGCAAAGGTCATTCCCTAACACAAGAAAGACCTGCTGGAAAAAGTCCAGAGGGGGCCACTAAGTTGATCACAGCACCTCTGCTATGAAGACTGAGAGAGCTGGGGTTGTTAATCCTGGGGAAGAGAAGGGTCTGGGTAGGTCTTAAAGCCCTGCCCAGTGCCTAAAGGATCTCCAAGAGAGCTGGAGAGGGACTCTGGACAGGGCATGTAGAGACAGAACAAAGGGGAATAGCTCCAAACTGACAGAGCACAAGTTTAGCTTAAGAATTGGGAAGAAATTCTTTACTGTGAGGGTGATGAGGCCCTGGCACATGTTTCCCAGAGAAGCTGTGACTGTCCCATACCTGGAAGTGTTCAAGGCCAGGTTGGATGGGGTTCTGAGCAATCTGGAATAGTGGAAGGTATCCCTGGCCACGGCAGGAGAACTGGAAATCCAAGGTCTCTAAGGTCCCTTCCCACCCAAACCATTCAGTGACTATTCTATCCTATGTTGCTCAGCAACACCACCACACAATCACACTTGAAATAACATAATTATGGCATGCTTAATATGGACCATTAGTTCTTCTAATTAGCCTTTTCCAGGGCTTTACATTGTTTCCACAGCACAATCATTTGAAAAGTCACACTTAAGTTTCTTTTTTTCCTCCAATAACACAGTTCATTTCAAGCACACACTTCCAAATACAGGGGTGCATTTCACTTCTGTGAGACAATGCAAGAAAATGAACATTCTGCTTGACAGGACCCTGGATCACCTTTAGTTCTGCTTTCAAAAGAAGGTTAAGATGATTTCCAGAGGTCCCTGCCCCCACAGACATTTCTGATTGCATGATTCTGATGGCACAGTTCTCACTCTGTCAGAACAAATATCACTCGGTGCCTCTCAAAACTCACTCCTACTTCTCTTTTTCTGATAGGGACTTAAGTTGGATTTTCTGAGTATGCATACTTATAGCTTACTCATCAGAAGTTTTCCTTTTTCTGATAATTATCATGCCTAATAACAGTAAAGACACTGTCAGATACACAAAGAGGGTTCATTGCAAATATCTTTGATAGAGAAAGAAAATACAGGATGAAGTACAATTAAAAGTTTTATTGAATTTAGAGGTGTGTGTATCAACTATTCTCCTTCTCCCCCACCACTTTTACAAAAGTTGTCATGGAGAGATTGTGATTTTAGCATGACTCTCTTTTTTAAGATTGTGAACCCATTAACTGTGTAATGTTACATACTAAAATTCTGATTAACATTTGACTCACAGGCCCATATATTCCACTATTTAATACTTAAATTTCTCCATTTCACCTGAGTGCTGTGTTTGGCCTCTCCATTCCATACATGCAGCCCCTGGCCCAGGAGGAGCATGTTGGAATTTCTGAAATAAGAACAGTAGGTCATCATACGTTCCAACTCCTAAAATTATTCCTGGTAACAAGTCTCAGACCAAAAATCTATTTTGAGATGATTGGCACCTCCTATTCTCTCAGGCTGTGGAGAAGAGGATACTCTGTTATAAAAAATCATGCACTTGAATACTGAAATGAACAGAAATCACAAGGCATCACACTGCATTTTAATGCTCTGACACTGACAGAATAAAACCTGCAATAAAATAAGGTATTTCTACTGTCAGTAAAGATTATGCTGCTTGTCACCTGCAGTACTTCTGTTAAGATCATTTTCATAACAATCCCTCAAAGGACAAACCAAAAGAAAATACATCACAAAACAAAAGCAGGATTCACCTATCAGACCACTTTTTAATACTAACATGGACAGAGCATTTCAAGAGAATTAAGTGTACACAGGGGATGTGCTGTATTTCATCCAGAGCTTCAATTATTCTTTTAACTCACAATAGCTTATTTTATTTATTGCCTTGTCTTTTAAAGTCTTCTCTCCATTTTTTTTCTTACTGCTCACTGAGTAAGATAGAAACAGGCTTATTTACTTCCACTCCCTCAAGCAGGACAATATTACTGCTAATAGTAATTTATTTAATGAACTAATCAGCATATTTAGACATAAGGAGAAAATAATTTAGACACAAGATTCTTCCTCTTTACCAGTAATTGCCTCAGGATTTTTTCCCCAAGCAACACTGAAATTAAATCTAGATTTTTAAAAAGCAGGTGACCCTTTAACACAGAGATGGTTCTACAATTTCATTAATATTTCTACATTTTCTTACATTATCTTTCATTTCTATATTCCTACAATAAAATCAAACTGAACTATTTCAGCTCTGTAATGGGGACTATGATATTTATTCTAAACTGACCTAAAAGTGTAACACAAATAATTTCTCTTTCAATAGAGAAGAAGTCAGGATGATTATTTCCAAATATAAATCGGCATACACACCCTTGATGTTGACTGTTTTTGCTGTCACCTCCAGTTTCTCCAAAGGTTCTGTTCCAATATTTTCTAATTTAATGATGAGCTGCTGGGTCTCTCCATTGTACAGCTGGACAGACACATTAGTGGTGATTTCATCCCCTGAAGAAGGCTGAAGTGTATGAGCAGACCTACAAAATGTGACAAACAAATTATGATGAAAATGGGAAAAGCCTGTCCTGGTTTTTGTCCTTTTGGAAGACTCAGACACTACTGCTGAAGATACTAAATAACATTTTCCATTCCCATTTTTAGAATCATTGAGGACTAAAATTAATAATTTATGCATAAGACAAGTCAGATTTCAAGCAATATAAAATGCATATTCTAACTCTGAAAGCTTGTTAAACTACCTGCAAAAACGGTAAGGAAGGGGAAAGGAAAAAAAAAATCCAGAGCAGATCACTACAATGAGCAGGTTTAATGGACAGTGCAGGGCACAAACCTCACAGCAGTGGATCCAGGGAAAAATTCCCAGTGTGAAAGGTGGAACAGTGCCTAGAGATGAACTCTTTGGAGCATGAATGAGGGAAGGAGGTTGCAGAACAAGATAGATGGGCATAGGTTCCATTCCTGACTGCACTTTCTGTGCTAATGCAGAGTGGTCAGAAGGCACCAAAGATACAAGGACAGAAGTTACTGAGATTAATGACCAATAGTTCCAGTTCTTTTTGCAGGTATTCCTGCCGCCCTTCCCTTTGATCCTGTCCTTCCTTAGCACAAGACAAGCAGCCTCCACAAACAGGAGGAGATTTCAGTCTTTCAGAACAGATCTGTGACAAGGACTTCAACCAAGTATTTTTTGATCATTCAGAATGTATTGCCATGGACTGTTAGCATTTCAGGGCTCTGAAATTTGAGCATGTGGAGTGAAAGGGAAGAAGGAATTTCTTTTTGCCCCCTCATATTGAGACAAAAGTATCATGGAATTGCATACTAAAAAGGAAAACAAATTATGTTTTCAGTTACTATATAAATGTACATGTACTTATTAGTGATTCTTCTTCTGTGTATTTTTCTCTCGTATTTTTTCCTTTCTTCTGTGATAATTGATCTGAATTAACAGTCATGCCTGGACTGGATTGTTAAGATATAAACAGTGAATTCTTGGCTTGATACATCCCTTTTTGCCCAAAACCAAAGTTTTGAGCACAACAATACTGCAAAATTATTTCTGCAAATTTCTGTGAAATTCCACAGTTTCAAACAGTAAAACAAAAGACTCAGCTTTGTATTCTAAAGCAAATCATACAGATTTAGATTATGTCCTGTTTTACTAAAGCATTAATTATACACTCAGGTGGAAGAGCTTTTATTCAGCATGTGACTAACATTTAAATACGACCTAATAAAATCATCATTTAATTTAATTTTTCACCTTGGAAGGGAGGTGCTGATCTGCAGCCTTGGCAAAGCTGGAATGACTTCAACAGTGCAGCCATTGGTCTTCACTCCTGGCAGATTGTCCAGAAGGCAATCACTGAAGACTCCAAAAACTGAAGTATGATAACCTGAGTTTTAGAAGAAAACACCAGTTATGTTGTGAATTGTACTGTTTTCTGGCAGGTCTAAAAGTACCCAAACCACAGGAAAATCTTCTCAGGACACATAATATGTACAGGACTTTCAAACCCCTGAAACAACAACATTTATAAGTACATTTCAAACCCCTGAAACAACAACATTTACAATATACAAACAACACATGGTCACCTCTGCATCTGTGGCATGTAAAATAGAAGAAACTGTAAAGAGCCTCTGATTTCTACAATGCATTACAGCAACTTCTGCAGAATTCTTTACAAGATCAACATCACAAGTCATAGTATGGACATCATTTTATACCTGTCACCAAATTCCCTGGGGCACATAAAATATTTCAACCTTCAATATGCATTCTCTATTTCCTCAGAAAAATGTTTACAGGAAAGACTCTCAACTACATCCAGAAGTATAAAAGAATCCTAAAGGAAATTATTAATGGAAAAAATATGCATGCATAAAGACCTGCCATGAAAGACTACAACTTCTGAAAGTTCAATTTAGTAGAAAAATACCTCTCCACTGATTCCTTACCAGGCAATATTTATGAGTTATATCTGAAGGAAAAAGTGATACATTGACAAACAGAAATCTGCCAAGTACAGGACTCAACTCCTCTACTTGCAATACATTTTTAGTATGTGGAACTCAGAAGGAGACAACTACGGTACAAATGTTCTGAATGCTTTGATGCTGTTCTGTATTTACTGAAATAGTTTCTGAGAAAAAAAAACACATGAAAAATTGTTTTATGAGCAGACACAAAAGCACTTAAGAAAAACTCAGTGAGAACAGTTTCTTCAAGTTCAAAGCCATCTTCTTTTAGTGCTTAGCTTCACCAAAATGGTTCTTATCCTGTATCCTAACTTTGCATTCCAGGAAGACATTTTTAAAAATGTGATTTGGTAAGATGATTCACTCCTACTACATGTAGAATCCATCCTCTCCACATATGCCTCCTTTTCCAGGTCTGCTAGCTTTTTGTAAAAGCTCTTTAATATTCTTCCTTACTACAAACACAGTTTTATTTAGGCTTATTAATGAAATGATATCTTGACTGCAACAGGCCATAAACCCTGGCTAAATTGTTTCCACGGAAGCAATCTGCAAAAATTTCTGTAATCTTACATGAACACAATTAATTAAGGAAGAAAAAAACCCTGCAAGATTATCTTCTGCATTCTAAAGAAAAAAGTTCAAGTAATCCTCCTCAGAAGCTTTCCAAATGAAAGCATTAATAAAGGGGAGCTGGAGTTCATTATCCTCTTCCTCTCACACATGAGATACTCCAAGAATGTGCTCGTTACTGCTGCTGCAGCCAAGTGATTCATCAGGCTGTTTTTAATGAAGCCTGCTGCAGGGAACAGATTCCCTGTGTTCCTTTTTTCTTGTACTTACTGAGGAGAGTTTAGAGTGGTGAACACACATGTGGCAAACAAAGCCATGCCACCCACAGGGGTGTAAAACTCAGGTTGTTCTGCCAACAAGGAGTGAGTGGAGCCATCCCTTACCATTGACAGTGATCTGCCCTGTTGTTTGGGGAACACCAACCAGAGTCACAGGATAGAGTCCAGATTCTGCAGGGAGGGAAAGGGCAGCAGGGAGAGATTCAAATTCCACTCCAGTTGTCAAGAGACCCTGAAAAAACACAGATAAATCAATTTATGATATACACTTACATTTTTATGCTACATACTTATATTTTAATCCCATGCATTACATCAGCCAAACTTTTATGATTTATTCCAATTTACTCATAGCAGTTATTCTGGGTTTGAGTTGCAGTGACTGCAGCGTGCATCCAGAATTACAGCAGGATTTGTATTCAACATGGAAATGTTCCAGGAACTGAGCTGGGAATGACATATGAAAAACTAATAAAAATTTATACCCAAGCACAGTAAAAGAAATCACAGCTATCATCTGCATGGTGTTGTTTTGTACCTACATTTAATTGTACCTGTGACTTTAACTTGAATATTCAATAGATAGTGGAAATCAAACATCAATCACAGATCTTTCTTAGCTTTAATTACATGCCCAAAGTATATTTTCTAAGAGGGAAAAAGAAAAATTTGTATTTACAGATAACAGGGCAAGTCTAGCTTAACCATCCAACCTAAATATTTCAGTGAGTTGGAATAATGCATTCGTTTCATCCTCTCAAACCTAAATGCCTGCAGTTACTCCCTTAGTGTCAGAGAAATCTTTTAGCATTCTAAATTTAAAACACGGGACAAAACAAGAAATGAAGCAGAAAAAAATTATTGAAGAAATTTCTGCATACAGCATTACTGATCTTAGGAGACTGGGGGTTTTCTTTAAGCTTAGTTAATGAATTGAAGATGCTTGAGCACAGAATGTGCTGTTAAACGTAAACTTGATTTTGGAAAGCATATAAATCCAAGTTGCTCATTATTTTTCTATACAAACATTTATTTTTATTTTTGAATAAAGATGCTACAAAGACCTCAATCAATAAAAGCAGTAAGCACAACTGGATTAAATCTTAACTCTGTGTGGATGCTTAATGAGAACTGAGAATACTGTTAAAGAGTAATATACTTTCGTGAAGAGAGATTAAAAACTCACAGTTTGAGTCACAGAAAAACACATAACACATACCCAAAATCTGTAAAATATTTGTTCTAGCAATTACTTATTTGTAGACTTGACACTCTTGAGACAACACCTAATTTGCCCAAAGGTACTGTGGCTTTGTGGAAACCTGCATTAGAGAACTGTGTCCTTGAGACTGCACAAAATTCCATTTCACCACTGCACTTAAGTTGTAAGTAAATACTCTGTCACACCCTCATTTCTACTGAATTTTTGTTTTCCTCCCATTGCACATTCAGACTTCAGCTGTCAGAAACCATTCACAAAAACACAAGTAAAACCTAATTTTGTCTTTCTGTATATTCACCCCCCAATGTATCACAGCACTGAGACTCTGATTCCCACATTAATCCTTCCAGTGGGATCACCCCACAGAAATGGGATGAACATTCTCTCTTTAACACTGATGTAGCCACAATTTTCACCACAATTCTGCTGCTTTTGCTTTGGCTGAAAAACCTTAGAACACAAACAAAAGCTGACCCAAACGCTCTCCAGAACTCACTTTTAAAACTGGTACAGAAGGCTTTTAAACTTTATTTTAGCCTCAAAACCACTGATCTATCACTTGGCCTGATATTCAAATACATTTGAATTATTCAGGATTCATCTCAACTAAAAACTTTCATCCAAGGACTTCAAGTCCTGCAAAATCAGTGATAAAAACCCCACAAACCCTCCAGTAATGTGTTTACTATCAGCCGTAGCAAATGTAAATTTTAAAAACTGACAGGGACTCCTAAACATTCTCTAACATGTAATACAAGCCTTGAAAACAAAGGGAATTTTTTTAGAGAGCAAACACAATATAAATGCCAAAACACCTGCACTAAGCACACACTGTGCCTGGACTGGGAATTGAAGAGCTTCAAGTGCACTAATACAAAACCAGGAAAGCAGCATGCAATTCCTCCACTTTCAGTAAAACTTCCAAGTTTTGAAAAGTAAAGACATTTAAAAAACATTAAAACTCATCGAAATGGGAAAAAAAAAATCAATATAAAAATCAACTAGACTTCAGATTTCCAGTCATAAATTGAAATCAAGATACTTACCTTTAAAACTTAGGCCACACAAGTGAGTTTTAAAAGACAGTGACATATCTTAGAATGTCTGAAAGATGATTTCAAGAGCACAATTTGCTGAATTGCACAATTCTGCAATATTTGCCCAATATTGCCCTCTGGTGCCTGAAGTTTTGCAGTTTAACAGTGAAAACCCAACCAAGGCTGAAGTGCTCTCACATCCATTAACTAAAAAATTTCAGCCACACCACCAAAAGTAGGGAAATGTGTGAGATTTCTTTTCCTGAGAGTTATTATTACATTAGTTCAAGTAGCAATAATTTAGTAACCATTTAGTCACCACTTGGTAATCATTTCTCTTTTTGACCCTACAGGAACAGATCATCCAAATCCAAGGTTTCCTCCAGGGAATGTATGAGTCACGCACACAAAAAAAATGTTTACATTTCTTTGTATTCTTATAAAACAATTTAAATTGTCTTAGAGATAATGTATGCATGGTTTTATCACAGCATGTCTTTCAATCACTTCAAATCTCATTTCAGTTTTAGATGAACAAAACAACTTGCATGTAAATGGCAGCATTTGGGGATGCTGTTAAAATAACAGGAGGATGTAACTGCTTTTTTTAGGCTTTACTTACCAATCCCAAAATGCAATCATTATTTTTTTAAAGTAACACAACCTTCAAAGTTAGTTTCCATGCTGAACATACTTGTATCTCATGTTGTCAAATACTTTACAAAAAAACTGTCAAATATTTATTTTAAAGGAAATTTTCCCTACTATTTCTAATATGGTTATTAGGCAGACCTAGAAAAACACCAAACACAGCCATTTTTATTCTTTTCCCCCCTTCACCTTTCTGTGTACATTCTTAACTAAAACATTCTCCACTAAATGGAGTGTAGCAGTAATTAAATATTCTCTCAAGACAGCAGAAACAGCAAAAGATGTGAACTCAGGAAAGAGCAGTTCATGGAAACAATTTAAACCATCATAAGCAAAGTTGTGGGACTGATTATACATTCAGATTTATCAAAATTTTAGATGCTCTTTTTAAACATCAACATAGAGCTCTTGACTAATAGCACAATTTTCAAGTTAGAAAAAAAAAAAAAGCAATGGCCATTCTTAAAGCATCATTAATCAAAATACCACACCTGATTGTGTTCAAATAGATACACGTCCCAAACAGAAGGAGAACCACAGAACAAATACTTAATTATTGAATAATGACTAAGTATTATAAATTATAATATTCTCATGGGTTAGGAGTAACATTTGTTTTGTTTCTTGATATTTATTTATTAAATACAGTTTACACTGTCTGTAGGTCTTGTTGCTTCTTGGAGTCATGGCTGTATTTTCCACAGTAAGAGCAGAAAAATGCTTTCCCTCAATACATAACATTGCCTCAAAAATTCTCAGCTTTGTTTTTTTGCTTTTAATGGGAAACGATAAAAAAAATGAAAAAGTAGAAAACATTAAGAAAACGTAACATTTTTCACTGCATCTTCATATGTATTTTAGTAGTAGATCTCTCCAAGTTGTACTGTGTGCTGCTTTAAGCATTTGTCTCAAGATTCAAAACAAATCCACTGGAGATTTCCCAGAATTTTTTGGAATTTTTTATTGAAGGCCTGAAACATGAAGATGATTTTTTCTTGCACAGAAATCTGCAGTAATAGCAGTAACTGCAACACAAACTGCAAAAGGGCTGGAGGCCATCACTGACAGACCTGAACAAGGCTGTACAGAAATCAACATTTCTGGCAGAAAAGGTGAAGTGGTGGCACAAATGTACAGCTGAACATCCCATCTCCAGGTGACCTGCACCCCAGCACCAGCATGGCAAGAATATTCTGTCTAATCCATCACAGCCAGCTCTGGTTAGGCTCATTTTTGTCTCTCATTCTGCTGATTTAAGGTACCTGCTGAGTTTTATTAAAGCATTTGTTCTGATCAACCCCAAGATCTCTCCTACTTCACTTTATTGACTCACACAATTGTGGGAGCTAATCACTTCCATGCTCCATGATTGAACATTTTCATTTGTCATTTTACAAACACTGCTGCACTTTCCATTGGACCAGACTTCTAACTGTGTGGACAAAATGGAAAAATGAAATAGAAAAAGACACAAAATGAACACAGAAATGGGGCAGGAATGAAGAATAGGTACCTAATCAGAGTCCCAAATCAGGAATATTCATGACAGGAAATTAATTGTACAAACAACAAAAATGGGCCAAGATCCTTGAGAACAATAAAATAAAATAACAAAGAAAATCAATTGTTCAGGGTTTATCATCAGAGCAAGACTAATCAAAGTCTTGTGTCCACAGTCTGACATCAAGTCTAGAAATTCAATGCCTTTTACTTAAGCACACCTCAATTAACCTACATGGACCCAGCATTAACACTTCAATTAATGAAAAAGCTCTGGAAGCTTTTCCATGGGGAATCATTCTCCTTAACAACCTATGCTCAATGCTAACTTGTTTACCATCACAACAGAAATTCAACAAACAGAAAGACACAGTAGGAAAAGTACCATGGCAAAAGCTTGCATCTCATTTAACATGAAATGAGTAATTTATCAGAACAAATCTAAATTGAGGGAAAGGGAAAAATTTTTAAAAATAAGTAAGACTGTAGATTTCAGTACAGTTATATATTAGTGGATGGTGGAGCATGGAAAGGACAAAGAAAAAATAAACCAAGCAATGGAGAACTCAAAGATGACTGGAAACAAGCCTGAATGATCTTGTAAAGGTGAGGTGCTGAGTCAGGCAGGAGGAAAAAAGTTATGGGAAAAACAAGTTGAAACTGCCACTAAATGACAGAAAAGGATCCACTTGCTATGAAACTGAGTCTGTGAGAGTAAATAATCTGAAAAAATGTGATATGTGATGAGAAATCAGACAAGAAAAGGGTATGGGGACTGCAGGCACGAGTACATGTTAATAATAAAACACACCATTTTAAAATATTAACCAGCACTCTGAATTATTAAAATGAAAACACAGGAGTTTATTCTTATGATAAAGTAATGCCTATTCCCACATTCCAGAAAGTTCACAGATGAGACTGGAAAACCAACAACTTAGGTTGGAAAGGAATTGTAGAGGTCATCTTGTTCAGCCCAGTGCTCAAAGCAGGGGTAGCTTTGGTGGTAGTTTAGGTTTTTCACATCCTGTTCACTCAAATTTTAAAGATTTCTAAAGATTAGGGTCTCAGGTTCTCTCTGGACAAGAAGTCCCAGTGTATGATCCCCCTCCTGCCTGGGAAAAGGGAGTTTTTATGAGGGAGGGAAGTTTCCCAAGGCTGCAGCTCGTTTCCTGACTCTCATCCTTATCTGGGCACCTCTGGGGTGAGCCCAGCTCTGGTTTTGCTGCACTTTCCCATTTTGGGATTGAGCAGAGCAGTAGGAATCACCCCAGTATTCTTCTCCTCTACAGGCTGAAGAGATATCAGTGTTTTTATCATTTGGGGAGCTCCAAACTGGCCTTGGTTCCAAAGACATTGTCTCTAAAATTCCAAATCAAGGGGAACAAGCACTTTCCTCAACTTGCTACAGAGTTGATAAAGATACAGATCTACCAAAATCAACCAATTTCTCCAAGTGAAGCCACATTAGTGAGGAGCAGAATTTCTCAAAGCACTGACTAAAGAGTTACATTAATTACTTCAATGATTTGCATCTGGTTGGCAAATTCATTCCTCTTGTGCTTTTCATTGGAACTGGAAATCAGTGGTAATTCCAAGACAGAACTTTATCACAACAACAGTAAAGTATGGGTGCTCTTACAATTAATTTGCTGAAGGAATGGATGTTGTGCAGATCTACACAAATAACTGCATTCTGAATTCTCGAGTGCATGTAAGCACTCAGAAGGAATTTCCTCATTAAGAAATTCTCCAAGTTTTTAAAATATATAATGATGTCATTACTTACACAATACAAATTAGACTGTAAATCAAAATGTTCTTAATCAATTAATTCCCACAGAGACCCTTCTGATGTTCAGCTTTACAACTACTTCTTCTATTAATCCTTAAAAAAAATTGAAAGCTTCTGTGAGGGTGAGAGAAAATGCTGCTGGAGAAAGCAGCATGTTAGCTCCCAGAATTAATTTTATTGTGCTATAAAAACAAAATCTTTGGGCATGTTCACTTCCCATGGAAAAGCACTTCATTATATTTGGTTTATTATCAGTAATTTAGGTCAACTTGCTTGACTAGACACTGCAGTAGACATATCAATAAAAACAAAACCCAAACAAAAATCATGAGCAAATAAATGTACACTGATTCAATTAGCTTGACAGAACAGAGGGCTCTAAGAGATGTGATTTATATTTAAAGCAATACTAAAGGTAAAAATATTTAACAGAAAGGAAAACAATGGATTAGGACCGAGTGGACATTAAGTTGGTCTGGTAGTTACAGAACTTTTAACCTTTAAATGGATAACAATTTTTTTTAAATCCTGTTGGAATAAAGAAAGAAAAAAAAAGAAAAAACCCATTATTTTTTTTTTCAGGATACACTGCAAGCAGCCAGCTGAAGTAGTAGAGAGTTTGGGCTTGATCCTTCTAACCTCACATATTTCTCCAGTGGTTTGGCCTTTTTTTCCCACTCCCTTCTGATCATCTGACATTAGAGTATTTTCAAATAACATAAATCACTGGGGACAACAAATCCATGAGCTGAAGTTTTTATTAAAACCTAGAGTTTCTCAGATCTAACTATTTTAGTTCATCAGGTTTTTAAATTGTGGTCAAAATGGAAATTTGAAAAGCAAGGATGAATGTGGACTTTTAAACAACAGTAGCAAGGGTACAATAATTATTAGGTTTCAGATATAATTATTACTTGAAAAGCAGTCTATGTAAATCATGTAGCAGGAGCTTTACTCAATGCAGAAATGTACAGAATTGATTTATGGGTCAGTGCCAGTAAACACTCTGAGTTGCAGAGATTATTTTTTTTTCAATTCCTCATCATCAAAAATATGAGAATATGAGAAAATTTTATGTGATAACACCACACTGTTAAACTGAGGTTATGCTGGATTAAACGGTCTTTAAAGAATATTTATACAAAAACGTATTTGAAAGTCCAAATGAGGTTCTTCTTCAGAAAAACAGCAGAAAGAGAAGGTTTAGAAAGATGCATACCATGTTTTCTACTCGGAGCTCAAAAGGCATAGGGTTGTACACCATCAACTGAACTTCACACACATCTCCCTGGACCCACTGGAAGTCTGCAAGGAATAATCACAGAATTAAGGCAGGAATTACCTAATCATAGGGTTATAAAGAAACAGCAGCAGCTGAGCTGTCATATTGCTATAATGCTTAATATGTCTCTGTAATCTTCACAGCCCAAGTCCTGCTCAAGAGCATTGTGTGACATGAGCTGTAAATCCCAGGCAAAGCAATAGGTCAGGGGACTGGGAATGTTCATTAACACAGCAAGAGTGCTCTAAAGACCCAATGCTTCATTGGCAAAATTAACTCAGGCAGCAATTCAAAACACTACTTCAACACATCCTTCCTGTTCAACACTTAAAGGTTTCCATACTTGGAGTTATGTAGAGTGCACATGGCCTTGATATTGAAGAATCAGCCAGGTAAGAAACGAACACAACAGGAAGAAGGAAACCACAAGTCCTCATAGAGACACAGCTGATTATATGGAGTAAAGAGACAGTGAAGTAAAGTGGGCTGGGTAATGTACCTGCAGTTTATATCTTAGCACAAGAGACAGGTCAACTTTAAAAATATTTCACTCTGCCAATTTTAATGTTTTTGAGTTTTATGATTTAAGGGGATAAGGCTGGACTAGTGGAAGGTGTTCCTGCCCATGGCAAGGGAGGTTGGAACTGGATGATCTTCAAGGTCCCTTCCAATCTAAACCATTCTATAATTCTGTGGTTCTATGGGAGATTATGGAGGTCAGCAGCAGAGATGCAAATTTTGAGTAATTGTTCAGTGCAAAAAGATTATTTCATATGAGTACTTCATAACCTTTTCAGCCCTCAAGCTCCTGTTTATGTTCCAAATTTCTCACAGTGAACCACATGCCCCTGAAGTTCAGACTTTAAACTGAATGTGACAAGATTCTCCCTGCAAGCTGAGGATCTGCAGTCCAAGTAAACAAAAGGTGGTTTAATTACATTTGTTAAATAAATCATGATTATAAGCTAAATTATAACATACATGGATTAGTTCTTACTAGTTTACCCAATGATTTTAACATACATTGCTAACTGTTTTTTTACTAGGATATTAGGAAATGTCCAGTGAAAAACCTGGATAATCAATATTAAGACTTTAATGCACAGTTGAAGCAATCTGTACTCTAATTGTACATTCACAATCATTTACTTTCTGATTACATTTTGCAGGCAATATTAGAGAGCTCGAGGGAGATGTACTTAATGCAAATGTTTAACTCAAATTAATGCTAGTGGAAATTAAACACATACATCCACAGATGTTAATGGGCGATATTACTGTGAAACCTGAAAAGCAAAACTGTTGATTAAAACAAAACATTCACATTCACAGTGGTATGAGATGTTCTCAATATTTCATGTTTAATTGCTTATTAGTGTCCATGATGTTTTGTGCATTCTGCAGCCCCCAAAACAGCCAGTGACTGCTCTGCACAGGTACAGAGTTAACCATTGTGGTTTACTACAGCAACAGAGGCACCTGCAGCAGCACAGCTGTCCTGAATCTCCACATTCTAACAACCACCACACTGAGGAATCTCTGTTCTGAAAGCACAACCACCCAACAGGGCTCTCTCACCAGGCCCAGGACTCATCCCACCACGTTTCATTTATGCCAATGATGTCAAACCTCTGGGACTGGGCCAAAGCTTCCAGCTGGTGTTTGTTCCTCATGCTGTGGGCATCAGGGTAGAAACATTTCAGGTGTGGTACCTTGTGGCCAACACCTGGTGAAGCAGATTGAGGGATCCCATCAGGATCCTCAAGGTTTGGCACAAAATCCCATTGCTCACCACTGGGGAGCCTGCTTTTCTCCCTTTCCCCCTTCCAAGCTAGTTCAAAGATCTGTCAGCAAGCCCCATTGCTCCTGTGCTAGAACTCCTTTTCCATCTGAGAAAGGCTCATCCCATCAGGTGTCATCAGCAGGCCAGGTTTTGACAGATCATTCCCATGGTCAAAAACCCACATTTTTTCCATTGACACCAACCTCGAAGCCACAAATCAATGGAGCTGCCTGTTCCTATCAATGTTATTCCTTGCCTTCTGGAAGGATCAAGGAAATCACTCTCTGTGCTCCTGATCCCTTCACCAATTGTCCCAGGGCCTTGAAGTCTCTTTTGATTTGCCTCAGACTTCTCTTTATTGTTTTGTTGCTGCCAGTCTGAACAACCAATAGCAGACAGGAATCAGAGGGTCTTTCTAGGCTGAAATTCTCCAGTGATGTCCCTTACCTGAGCCCCTGAGAGACAGCAGACCTCCCCTGAGTGGGCAGGTCTGCACATGGGGCCCTCTGCTCCCCTTAGCAGGGAGGGAGTCTCCTATGAGGACCACCCTTCTCCTGCCAGCAGAGGAGGTTGTGATGCAGGGTCCAGGTGGTGCTGCTTTAGGAGGTCCCTCTGCCCCAGAAGGACCCTCAGCCACCTCATCAGTTGTTTGCCCTTCTTATTCCAGGCCTCACCCCTGTTATAGAAGGTGCCAGTCCTACTTGTCACAGGAGGAGGAGGAGGAACCTTCCTCCTGGTATGTGCAATAACCTGGTTCCATCCTTCCCCTGTAACAGAACCCTGACTGACAGTCCCTCCACTCATCACCCTGCTGGGCTCTGAGTCCACCTGCTCTGGGCTCTGACTCCACCTGCTTCTCCACTGCAGAGAGAGGGAGGTGATCACTCTACTCCACCCCAGGTTTGTCAGGCTCAGCTGTGTCCAGCTGTGGGGACCACAGCTGGGAGGGACACAGACTGGAGAGGATCCCAAGGAGGACCACAAAGGTGGTCAAGGACTGCAGAAGCCCCCTGAGGAGGAAGGAGTAAAGAGTGAGATCTCTCTGGGGTGAACAGAAGGCTCAGGGGCAATACCTCACAGTATTCCAAAACTTCCAGGGCTGCATGAAGAGGACAGAAGCTCTTTCCTCACAAGGAGCCACAGTAAGAAGACCAAGGGTAACAGACACCAGTTGTACTGAAACAGGTTTTATTTTCTTAGTAATTTTTTTTTTGTTTCAGTAAGAAGAGTAATCCAGTGGAACAACCTCCCCAGGGACATGGTGGAGCCTGACTCAATGGAGGTTTTTTGAGATGAGACTGAAATCCCCTGTGTGCCAGGGCAGTGCTACAGAATTGTTCCCTGGGGGAAAATGTTTTGAAAGGAAAGGTAAAATGAGCTATATTTGTATCAGCTAATACAGGTATGACAGAGCTGCTGGATTTACTAACAGAACTATATTATATATTGTTGCTGCTTTAGACTATCAGCACTCAGAACCAACAAAACACTTCATGTCAAAAATCAGGAGGTTTATTTTTTATGACTAGCATGCTATTAAAGCAATTTAACTACAATATAATTATCCCTGTTATTGTTTCCAATCAGAAAAGCTTATCAAGTTGAAAGCTGAAAACATTTCAAGACTTTCTAAAAGGGTTTTGTTTCCTTTTGGTTTGTCAGCCATGCTTGATTTCCTTTGCTGTAAAACAATAATTTAACCAAAATATGGAGTACTATCTCCATGTAAGAAAAACAGTTCATTTGTTATTGTTGTTTTTAATTAATGTTAAATACATGCAATTAAAATACTCTCATTAATTTCGAAGTTAATAAATTTCTCAGCTTCTTTCAAAAGTATCTGCTTTTATTTTGTATTTTCTTTTGTTTGCTAAACTTTGAAACATTAGAGGCTTTTAGCAGTGATTGCAATGTTTATGTACTTCAAAAGACAAATGCTGTACAGGATCAGAAGCAATCAGACATCTCCTTAGGCTAAATAAAAACCTAAAAGAAGAATGTTCACTGTAAAATGTAAATCTCCTATGGTACAAAAAGCACCAAAACAAATCCTAACCAGTTCAAAAATGCAGGTTCCTTTTGTATCCATCAAGGAATGAGAATGCTGCTTTATACAATTATGTGACAACACTGGGAATAAGGTTTTATTTAAATTAAAAAAACATGACACGGTATAGCTACGACATTAAATGTTGAAAATTTAATAGTAATTAAATTTTCAGCAAATTATTAAGAGAAATCAAGAGAGCACTTTAAGATGTTCCCCTACTTGCACATTTTTTCAATTTATCCTTTAACTAATTCTTAATATTTTTTTTAATTTCTTATCCTTTCTCTTTTGAAATCAAAGTAGTGCTGCAGCAAAGTCACAATGAGCCAAGTGCATCCAAACTGCCAGATCATCATCCCTGCTCTGCACATCCCAACTGTTTCTGTTTCAGCTGCTTATTGAGAATACACATCACCATAAACCCAACTGGAAAACGTGCATGCTCTTCTCAGGGTGAGGGGTTTCACCTTCCTCATAACCAGGTCCTCAGCAGGGGCACAGCCCGTTTTTGTTGGAAAGAGGAAACCACAGAGATTCTTGGAGAACTGGCCCTGCAGGCAGGCACAGTCCAGATAAACAAGGAACCAAGATAAAACATCCTGCAAATTTCTGAAGTTTTTACAATCAGCTCTGTTCCACAGTCACACAAATCTTTTTTGTGCTGACAGTGATGCCTCTGGTAAAAGTTATCATGCACGTGATAGGCACAAAAGCCACAAAAAGAATATTTGTAACTTAATCCAGGATTTAAACAAATTTCTAATCTTTTTCCAATGGCACAATTACCACACTGAAAGGCTTTATAATCTTTATAAAAAGAAAATTACTGATATTTCTAACAGGATTTAGAAACTTTTTCTTGGCGGACCAGTCCTTGAGTAAAAGGGACCAATCAGACAGTTCATCACTCTGAGTTTATGTTAAATCAGAATAGGAAAAGGAAAAACCACAACAGTGCATTTTCCTCAGGACACTGAAACTCTGGTGGCTGCCAAGCAGAGCGTGTCAGAACTAAGTCTTGCCTGAATTCTCTTTTCTTTGAGAAGGAAATAAAACTAGTTTATCTCTTCTGAAAAATCAGTATTACCATCTATGAGACTTTTGAGACTCTTTTGAATATGAAACTGTGCCTCAGAAAAAAAAATATTTGTTCCTTCAGAACGTGAGGCTAAAAGACTGGTTATCTCAAATAAAAGACAGCAATGTTCAGGTTTGCTTTCCTTCACCCCAAAAGATTCTCTAATTTAACAAAATAACAGAAAATACTGTAATTACTCTTACCTATTTTCTTATTTCGTTCTTCCCCACGACTGTGTGCAATAATTGGAGAATATATGAAGGGGCTTTTGGTTGACACATTCTGACCAAGTAAACTTTTCATTTTGTGAGGTCGGAGACTGGTTGGGAGGTTCAAGAGCTTCACAGATCTGCAGAGTAAAAAAATAGTTTCTAATTATTTCATTTATTCTATTTTGTAACAGGTGACTGTGTTAAAAAAGGACTGATAAATATGAAACACCAGTCTGAGAATAAGATACCTGAATTGGAACACCTGAAGCAAACATTTACAATAAAGGAAATAACACCAACCCAAGGAAACTGCATTATCAGAAAGCTCTCAGAAAACAATAACAAAGGAAAAAAAAATCTTCCTTAGAAACCAACAAAACCAAAACTATCCAGAACATTGATTTGAAATCCAGCTATTAATTTTTGAGTGCAGACTGAACCACAACTCCAGTGCAGAAAGCAGCCAAATATTGAACTTAAACCCAAACTAAAATCCAGACAAGATTTCACTGGGCAGCAAAAATAAAGAAACTTCTCCACAGTGAATAAAGCTGATTTTAATACAGTGAAAATGCAGAGTAGCTGCTGGAAAGAAGGAAATGTCCCAGAACTTTGAGTGGGTTTGTTAAACAACCAGAAAGCAATTACAAATAGAAAACAAATTATTTATTAGATTGCATCCCTGCTAGACCCAATTCCCTACCATGCCATGCAGGGAAATCAATGCTCTTCCAATGCTCAGGGGAAAGTAAAGACTAAATTTTAGGCAGAAGAACAAGCAATAAATTGGTGGATATTCAGTAAAATCAGCAGCATTCTATAAACCTGTAGGACACCTAATTACTTCAAATCAGGAACTCAGCACAGTAAAGAACAGATATGTCAGTATCACACTAATAGAAAGGAGACACACACAAGAAGCCAAGATAATGTGTTTCTGCTGAAAAATAATGAAGCTCTAAGAGTAACACTACACCGGCAAGTTCTCTCTATGAAACAAAACACCTGATAAGAAATTACTAAATAACACTAAAAGTAGGTTGAACAAGAAATGAATCCCATCCATGTGTTACATATTGGTGATACTTAGTGTCAGCATCAAAATCATATGTAAAATCACAGACAATGAGCCTGAGGAATAAGAAGGAAACTGTAAGAGACCCCTGATATTTCATATTTAAAACCTCTTCTGATAGAGTTTTTACAAATTAGAATGCAACTTAAAACTAAAATGTGAATTATACTCATTTGAGGAAACAAACACTGAATTTGATATAGATGTAATAAAAAGGAATTTTATTTGCTGTACAGAGGAAAGTGCTTTGGCTCCTTCATGGTTATTATATACGTACTGGTGGAAAACCTGGTTTACCTGAATGGATGACAGTTGAAGGAATGTTCCTCAAAAACATATCAGAGAGTTGTACCCTCACAGGTCAGACACAGAAGAGGACAGATTTTTATTTCCTTGGAGTGAAAAGCTCCAGTCATGTCCCCTGGCCTGACACCGCTGAATGCAAATGAGTGACAATTAAGAATTACTAACTGATTTCACTAGCTACCCAGAAGATCAAAATCCTGTATTTGGAAAATGTTAATTAAAAACAAACTTGCTTAGATGGGAAAGGAAAAATTTTATTTTAAGAAATCCCACTATACTAAGTAAACAGAGGGAAGGGAAAAAATGGCACTGAGTCAATTTGATGTAGTAACAAAAATATGTAAGGACTACTAAAAGCAGCAGTGGTAAAAAGAAGGAAAATTTTCTGCTTTTAAATCTATCAGTGAGACAATTACCTGTAACATAGGTAAATTATAAAAATGGGAATAGTGCATTTTTTATCTGAGAAAATACCAGATGATGATTTTATATTGAACATGAGTAATGGAATATAAAGATTTTGCCTTGCCAAATCTCTTCTATTGTTTTTAAAGTACTGGGGAGAAAAGGTAACACTGCCACTGTGCTCTTATTTCACTGTGGCATTTCCATGTCTGACAGCATTTTGATTAAGAAATCTGCATCCAAAACAAGCACCCCACATTAAATGGATTAAAACTCGTAGACCATGAAATGCCAACAGTAAATAGAAGTCATCCCCATCAGTAAATGTGTGTTTCTAGAGGGCTCTAACATGGATTGAATCATAAGCTGAGGTTATTTAACATTCATCAAAATGACATTTCCACACATTTATAATTGATGTCACAAAAATTAGCATGATTTAGCTCAGAGAGCTCTGCAGTCCAGCAGCACAGCTGGTTCCCAATGGGCTGGGCAGCTCTACAGCATCAGATCTGCTGGGCTGATGTAACCAGAGCCTTTATACCTGAATTCAACTAACATTTTATTGGAACACTAATTTTTATTATGATGGCTTTTATAGAAATTTTAACAGACAAGAAGGAGGAGGAGGAGAGGAGCAGTAGTTCTTAAATAAAGAATGATGCTTAAACAAAGTTGATGCTGGATTCCTCCCCCCATGGCAAAACAGAAGGAGCTATTCCCAATATTGCAAGCACAGCCAGGTCAAGACAAGCAGATTATGTAAGTGGATATGTTTGTCCCCTTCTCTGAGCATACAAAACATTTTAATTGACATTAAGTCTTTCCCACTGAAGTCTTGGGAATCTCTTGCCAGAGTTCTGACTGGCCTCTTCTTCCAGTCTCTTCTCCCAGGTAACAAGCAGCAGGATAAGAGGAAACAGCCTCATATTGCACCAGGGGAGGCTTAAATTTGATCTTAGAAGAATTTTCTTCATGGAAAGAGTTGTCAGGTTTTGGAAGGGGCTGCCCAGGGAGGTGGTGGAATCACCATCCCTGAAAGTGTTCAGAAAATGTGTGGAAGTGGCACAAGACAGGGTTGAATGGTGAACAAGGTGGCGGTGCTGGGTTGATGGCTGCACTTGGTCACCTCAAAGGTCTTCTCTAGTTTCAACTATACCATGGTTCTATGGTGCTATGTCTAAATCCATGACTCCCATGAAGGAGGATTCAATCAGCATTTGCCCCATTTTCTTCACTATTCAGGATACTTCTTCTGAATAGAAATATCTTTCCTTCAAAAAGAAAATATTTTCTTTCAGTCTTCTATTATTGACACCCACTGGCTACTTTCTCTAACTCACTCTAATGTCTCATGCCAGGCTTCAACCTGAACAAGTTATTATTCACTGGCCTGACTGCATGATGTGCCTGAATGGAACTGAGATTTAGAACAGGCCAGTGAAGGTGTCAGCATGAAAATGCAGCATCTGGAAAGGGAGAGGTACAAAAAGCACCATTTCCAGGTGAGTTCCAGGCTCTGTGGATGGAGACTGCATCCAACTCGTGGACATTCAGTATTGAAAAGATCAAGGATTCAACTAAAATCTCAGCTGCAGCAAAATAGCTTCCTTCAATTGAATAAGAAATTGTTGAAGGACAGTTCTTCAAAAAACAAAACTCCTCTCTTTCTGAAACTAAAGGTCACAAAGTATTTTCTGGTCAAAGGCTCTATTTTTGATCAAGAGCTTCTCAAAACAATTTGACATTTTGACATTTTTCCATGTTCCTGTGATCCACATGCATAAAGTGAGATGACTGCATCCTTTCAGTATCCTTTAAAATTTGACAGGTACTGTGAAAAAGTTAAAGATTGTGTTTTGGTCTTACTTCACAATAGGCAATTTGGTGAAAGGAACAGGAGGTAGCTTCAAACCATCTGGAAGAGTGATGACTTCCATTGTCCCAGGGCATTTTGCTGTGTAGCTTTCCAAGCTCTGTGTGACATCTTTCTTTTCTAGAAAATAAAATTGAAAAATAATTTCAAACTCACATTTAATTGAGACTACAGTCTTGTTTTTTACAAAATAACTCAACTGGCATGCCAACAATTTCTGCATTCAGTACTTGGATTTAAGTTCAAACTTGACAGATGGTTCAAATATAATTAAATGACCTTAAGCTAAAGTTTTCTAGATTTCTCAGAATTTTTCAAGTGCCAGTCTATACCTACTTTTTGTTAGGGTTTTTTATTGTCAAAATACAATTTTTTTGCAATTCCACCTATTAAATCTATATATCCAAACAAAACAATCAGCCTCACACATATTAAGGTTATTAATAATAGCATTGCATGGGAACAAGGACTGCTCTGAAACATTAGATTAAATAATATCAAAGGCAATGAAGAGAAACAAATTACTTTTGATGTTAACTTGTGTGAAAACTATTTAATCCTCAAAATAATTGTACTGTGTTATGCTACTAAATCATAACAGGAAAGAAAGATTTTCTTTGGTTTTGCTTAAAAATAGAAGAACATTCAAACAAATATGCATTATTTGGGTTATCTTCAAGAATGTACAATGATTGCATATTAGTTTTATCCAGTAATTATTTTCAACAATACATAAAATTGTGCAACCAGAAAAAAAAGGTCAATTTGGAAATATAAAACCTCAACGCAAAATTGTATTTAATCTTTATGGTGCCTTCCAACCCAAACCTTTCTACGATTCTATGATTCCCTGTTTCTCTGATGAAATGGAAGTCTGCAAACAGAGAAAAGCCTGGCAGTGTTTGTTTAGAGGGGAGAATGAGGCAGCTGAAGAAACCTATATTGTTTTAAAGAGAATATTCATAGACTGTTGGAAAGAACCATAAAATCCAACCCCCCTGCCATGGGCAGAGACACCTTCCACTGGACCAGGCTGTTCTATGGACGTGCTACCTACATAAATAATTATTCAATATTGAAACTGTATCTAGAAAACACTTGAAATATCAAAATACTCAATGATTAAACTAAATAGGAAAGGGGAGGGTGATAACAATTAGTATCAGTAGTAGCACTACCAGGAAAACCTGAGGTTATGGTACTGGGTTATGCAGCAAGGTTTTGGTAGCAAGGAGTGGCCTCTGGGAGAAGGCACCAGGGTATCTCCATGACAGAGCCCATTCCAGACAACCCCAAAACAAACCTGCTGCTGCCCAGAGCTCATATCTAAGAAAGGGTAAAAAATGCTGCATAGCAGCTGTGAGAGGGAGAAGTGAGAAAAATGTGAAAGAAACATATCCTGTAAACTGTGCCAAAAATACCAAAACCTGCCCAAAACACCATCTTGGGCCTTGAAAAGCACAAACATCCAGCAATGCTTGTGCTGCCCACACCAATCCAGCTCAGTCTGTGAATTCTACAGCCACAAGGAGTACACACTCCTTCAAAGCAAATCAACATTGATTGTAATCCCTTCACTATGGAATTAATGGCACATAACTGACAAATTGCCTTGCTCGTGTCTGTGTTTCACTGAACAGTCTCTTGAGCCATTCCCCACATTTTAATTGCCTGTAGGGAATGCTCCCAAAACCACATTAATTAGGCATCCATATAGACTCAGAGCAGCACAGCAGAGCCAGGAGTTGTAGTGGTTCAAGGCTGAGAATTACCATCAAAATTTCAGGTCATTTGCCATATTATGAACAAGGGCACATAGTGCAAGCAGAATCCACCGAGATGGAAATCTTCACAGCTACCAGGAATGGTGAAGGTAATGCTACAGCATCTGCTTAATTGTGCCTGAAACCAAAGGTCTGCCATCCCAGAGCACTGCCTTTCATTCCCTAGTGTGAAACACTGTCAGTTATTGTTCTCAAAGAAAGCAGGCTGCCATTTGCAAGAATTTGTTTACAGATTTTTGAGTCACGTGGTTATTTCCTGGTAGCAGCTCCCCACAGTTTCCGTGAGAAAAAAGCCAAACCAAACCATTTTTCTATGTTGATGTGGTGTGAAAGACAGCTTTAAACATGCTGCTGCCAGGCCAGCAGCTCAGTTCCTTTTCCTTAGCACCACATCTCAGCCAAGATGCTGAAGGAATCCACATCAGCAGGACAAAATGGGAAGCATTCACAATGCAAAAGAGCTGCCTAATCCTGCCCAAGAGCCACTTCTGAAAGCAAACACTGGAACCTTCTCCCTTGAGGAGCACCTCAGCTCCCTGACCTCTGTGTCTTAATGGTTGCCAAAAACCTGCTCCAGCCATTGCTGTTCTGAATTCTCACAGCTTTTGGCTGCCTGACATCCTGTTCTGACAGAACCTCCTGGGAGGAGCCACTGAACTCCTCAACCTCCCTCCTGACCTACAGTTAGGAGATTTCTGTGACTGTTATCACCAGCACTTGCCTTTTTGAAAAGTAGAGACAAAAACCAGCTGCTCTTGGAGGTCTTTACCCACCTGGTGCCTTCGTGCTCGTACAGGTCAGCAGGAAGGCAATCACCACTTGATCCTGTGACCCCTGAATTCACCTCAACAGCTTTAAAAGCCTGTCCTGCAGCTGGGAGCACTACTGGATACTTTTGTGTAGGTATTAGAGACTCATTTATTGAGCGAGGAGTGACAGCTTATTTTCTCATCTGGATTAACTATGTTCACAATTTTTTTCCCTTCACTTTCTCTCCAAACTCACTGAAAGACCAGGATGACAGAATAAACCAAATAAAGCTGAGCAAAGCCTCTGGCAGCACTGGCATGTGAGCACATTCTACTCATTTTGTTCAGTACAAACCCAGTGTATTTTCCCCATTTCATACCAAATTGGTTCTGACAACCAAAAATGTTGCAAGTCCACCCATACTCTTAGAATTTCATTGCTCAACTATTTAACCTCAACATAACAAGCATTGGTTTGGTGTCCAAGCTGCTTCAAACTTTCTTCTAGTATTAGAACATAAAAATCTGAGAGTTTCATATGCACAGTCAGAAACCATTAGTGATTGAAAGCTACTAAATGTGAAAAAGACAAGACTTTCTGCTCATTTCACAGTCCTGTGGAGCAGTATTTCACAATAATGGAGCCATTGAAAAATCAGACCAGGACAGGACAGAAGGTCATTTATAGACTAGCATTTTTAAGCACTTCAGTAACTGTGATTTAACAGTGTAACACAAGCAGTAGTTCATGTCTTGGCAGATAACACAGAAAATAAGAACACAATTGCTGTAACTGTGCTCTTGAATATTTGAAGAAATTTTAAAATAGCTGTACTCGGGTTCAATCACTACCCACTGAACACTAAGGCAAAGAATAAAAACACAACATTTATTCTTTGGCAACAATTGGTTGATGTTGTGTTGATCAAGTCACAGTGTCCCCTGCAGAACAATCAGAACAAACAGCCAGGTGGAACAAAGAAAGGGAACATTTCCTGTCTGACCCACCAGTCCCACTGGAACAACTTCATTTCCTTATGGAGCTCACTAAAATATTGAAAACAAATAGCTCAACACCTTCTGACTCCAATTTTACCTCAGTGATAGGCCCAGAATAAACATTTTAATAAAAACCCTCATTGCCCATGGTGGTTTGCGCTGGCTGAGCTTTCTCCTTCTCCCTTGAAGACATCAAATAATGGACACAAAGGAGAAGTCTGAGGAGAGTTCCTGCAGCAGTCCTGGCCCAAGGTTCTCAGGACAGACTCAAACATCTTCTTAATGAGTTAACAGTAATATATAACAAGACAGAAAAGTCAGTCTGATGACAGGAAAAAAAACAAGAGAAAAAGCAGTTTTTGCACCCATAAACATAGATATGGCCTTCCAGTGCCTGAAGGGAATGTACAAGAAAGATGGAAAGAGACTTTTTACAAGAGCGTGTAGCGAGAGGATAAGGGGAAATGGATTCAGACTGACAGAGGGCAGGTTTAGCTTAGATATTAGGAAAAAAAAATATTTTCTGAGGCTGGTAAGGCTCTGGCACAGGTTGCCCAGAGAAGCTATGGCTGCCCCCATCCCTGGAAGTGTTCAAGACCAGGTTGAATGGGACTTGGAGGAACCTGGGATAGTGGAAGGTGTCCCTGCCCACAGCAGAGATGATAACTTTAAGGTTGCTTCCAACTCAGACTGTGATACTTCCTTCACACATCCACACAAAATGAGAATTGCTTGGTGAGCCCTAGGGAAGAAAGTCCATGTCTGCTTCCAGGGGAATCTTCAGTCTCACTCTGCCATGAAAATGCAGTGTACTTTTTAAACTAAAGAATTTCAAAAAGGCCACTGTCAGAACCCAGGACATCCCTCTGGATGCCCTGGATGGCTCAAAGCCCTGGCACAGGTTCCTGGCAGGAAGCCAAAGACCCCTGTGGCTTTGAGTTCGACCCATGGAGCAAATTACCAACCTTATATGAAGAATTACAAAAGAATTGTGACATGAAGAGTCACAAAAGTTTAGATAGCATAACAGTAGTTGTCACAGGGTGAAAGGTGGAATTTTGAAGAACTTTACTATGGGAGTCTAGGGACAAGATGGAGGCATCTGGGCATTGTCCTGTCCTTCTTCCTTCTTCTTCCTAGCCTCCATCTTCTTGGTGAAGGTGGCACTTTGGGATTGGTGTAGAGTAGAAAGTCACTGTCCAGCATAGGTGATAGGTATCGGAAAATAACTGTAAATATCGAGTACGTAGTTTGTAGTATAAAAGACAACACCAGTCCCGTGGGTGGGGAGTGTGCCTCAGACTGACCAGCCGAACAGATCTCGGCGAGCCAGACAGAAAATGTTTTAGATAAAAAATAATAAACAACCTTGAAAACGCGAGCCAAAGACTCCTGATCAGTTCTTCGACAGCTGGTTTGGGGAGAACAGACTTTCAACACACCTTGGGATCATCTCACAACCAGAGAGAAAATCCCGAGAAGCCACAAAATACATTAAGACCCTCACAAAAGCTGCAGTAGGAATTGATTATTCACCATTCACAGACAGCAACCACCTCTTACTCTGCAGTTAATCACAGATTGCAGG